AGATTGCAACCGATAGTCTAAGACTCGTCTGTACACGCACATTATGATTCATGTGCAACGACCTTTGAAATATCCAACGCATAACAGTAAAGTGTAACAAAGTGCAACATATAACAGTGAACTAACTGCAACGCGTAATAGTAGAGCAAACTGAACGCAAGGCAGTAAAGTATAACAGTCGGTCCAAAGCAGTACTAATGTGCAACACTTAGTTGAACACATGACTCTAATAGTGAAGGAAACAGTAGACTCTAATAGTAAATTGAAACACATGATAGTAGACTCTAACAGTAAATGAAACACTTAACTGTAGACTCTAATAGTGAATGAAACGAATGGCTGTAGACTCTAACAGTGACTGAAACAATCAAACAGGAGATTGTGTGCGTGTCTGGGGCTTTAAGTCGACCGTTTCAGATTAATGTATATCAACGTATATCGATCATCTCCTACAGGAGATATTAAGTACTACGTAGGAGATACTAAGTCCTACGTAGGAGATACTATGTCCTACGTAGGAGATAGTAAGTCCAACGCAGTAGATAGTATGCCCTACGTAGGAGATACTATGTCCTACGTAGGAGATAGTAAGTCCAACGTAGGAGATAGTATGCCCTACGTAGGAGATACTATGTCCTACGTGGGAGATATTAAGTACTACGTAGGAGATAGGAGATAGTACGACCAAAAAATGTTTTCACCGTGGCCCTACTACGCTTCCGTAACCGGATAAAACTCCTTGTGGGGTTTTAAAATAGATGAAGTCAGTCCTATGTTATGGGTTTTTTTACATTATAAACATAAGAAGCGCGTGGTCTTTTAGAGTGTACAAAGTATACACAAAAAGAACAGAATTTATTCCGTATTTTGGCCATATGGCCTAAAGTACAACTGTAATTGATGTTGTTGGGTTTTTTAACAGGTCACATGACAGTACGACCTTTATAATAGACGCAAAGCAAACACGTGTTTCAAGTTAATAGCAACATTTCTCATTACATCAATATTTTAGTATTTAGATGACTAACCGTATTTACACTAGCAGGAAGATATTTTAGGCTTATGGATTTATATTTTTCACAAACATATAGCACATGAGATTCGTCTTCTATGGCTCCAAGGTTACATGATGTACATATTACATTTGAAACATCACCTTTAGATTTACGGTAATTGGGTATTTTAAAGTTATGCAGAGAAATTCCAAAGTTACAAAAAGCCCGTATTAATGATTTATCATACTATTGTGTTATATAATTTCAGGTTGGAGAAGGGATTTATGTTCAGTGTAATGTTTAAGAAATTACGAATTTGGTACATCTGAATGCCAGCTGTGAAACGAAATATCTTTGATTCTTTGCCCAAATGTATTTAAAAACGACATATTTCCAACATCTTGACTAATCCGTACAAATGAAAAACCAGTTATGAACAATCACGCTTTCCCATTAGACCCCCAATTTCAATTCGATTTTCCACTTTCATCCAGCGAGTTTAGCATTATATAGCATAGGTGCGGATATCGATGATAACTCATTCTTTACAATATATTCCAATATTTTATAACACGTACAAGCGTTACTGAAAACACAATATCTTCACCCAAAATAGCTCTATTTTATGCAAATTTGCCAACATTTAAAAAACGTTTGAATAATGAAGCATGAACCTCTTCAGTAACATTGTAAGATTTAGTCCCACACATTTTCAGCACCATATAATAAAATGGAAGCAATTTTACAGCCATACATGGTACAAGCTGACTTGAGTCATATTTGTTTATTTTATTGAAAAGTTGAAATATTGGAAACAGAGTTTTGCTAGTTTGATTTGCAAGGACATCACAGGATGTTGACTAATTCAGAACAAATATGATGTTACGCCTAAATATTTATAACATGTAACAGCTTTAATTTGGCATTACCAATTGTATTACAAGCATGTATAGTTTACCCATCTCCGTCTCCAGTAACTTAATTCGGTGTATTAAGTCTGTTTTTCAGTTTCCGTCTGCCTTTCTAAATGCAACTGGGATGGGTCTCAGCGATTTATATGCCTGTCTGAAAGACCTAAGACGTGTAGTACTGCGAACTTCATTCCCAATAAAGCTGACACACTGACATAACTGGTGAGGTGAGGTGAAATTGGGTTTTACGTCGTACTTGAGAGTATTTCGCTCATATGACGACGTGCATGCGTGTGTATGTGTATGTGCGGCTGATTGTACTAGCCCAGACTGAAGCTGGTTTTATAGTGCTAACCCACTGAGATACCATGCCGCAGTGAAGCATGAACACCCCACTCAGACACATTATACTGACTCCGAGCCGACCAGTCCTTGTTGTACCCATTAATGCCGAGCGCCAGGCAGGGACCAACAAGTACCATATTTTAACGTCTTTTGGTATGACGCGGTCGGGGATCGAACCCACGACCTTCCGCTCTCCGGGCGGACGCTCTAACCACTACACCACGGAGGCGGTCGACATAACTGGTCAATGGATATAGCATATACATATATAGTACCGATGTGTCGATACCTAGTTATCTGTAAAGCTTCAAATCAATTAGGTATTGACACTGACCATGATAAAAACACGCTGTAGAATTACGTTAGGGAATCATTGGAAGTAAATGACCGTGGAGAAAGCTGTAGGACGTACACGGAGTCAGGGTGATTACCTTGAGGTAATGCAGATGTAAAGAACTGGATTGTTGGATTGTTTGACCACGTTACATTGGTGTCATATGGTACCTATGTGAAGTCGTGAATATCTGAGAATGACACCTATAGATTGTTCGAGCTAGTGTTCCTATGGCCTGGAGAAAGCTATTTAAGGGAAGAATACATAACATTTTAACAAAGTTGTGTTCTTTGGATGTTACAGTTCGACAGGAGACCGTACTGATTTAATATCGGTGTCGAATCACAAACTATACTTGGAAACCTGGCACTGTCCAATATTGGTGTGTTGTGAGGATGAATCCACTATCTACAAATGTTTGGAGGGTACAGTGTAGTTCTGTAATGTATTCATGCAGTATCTTCTCTCTACTTCTGATATTCAGCGATATGACCTCGATCTCAGCTTTTGTAATACAGCAATCCCCAAAATGTCGCATCGACTACCACAACCTTCCCGCTTCCGTCAGCCTTGACCCTGGGTGTAGCCGTGTGACGTGTGGCTCGCAGTGTGGCGCCCCCCTGTCCCTCATCACGTGACTGTCAACAAAATGGAGTCTTGGTGTGTAAGGTGTCTGCCCTGCCTACAGCCTTTACGTGTGGCTACGATGAAGCCAACTGCTACGTATTTCAAAAGGTATTATACAATATAAATTTAAATACAATTTACAGTAAAAATGTGTTATATTGGCTCCAGAATATTTAATCGCGATTATCCCTCTCATGCAACTGTACCAATGCCCGAACCCCAGTCGATGAGCACTCGCAAACAGTTAACCTAGCATTTATTCATTGTGAAAGTACAAATTTCGATTTCTTGATATGGTTTGGATTTTGAGTGAACGTTTGGTGAAAGGTTCAAAGGCAGCAATTGTAGCTGTTCATAGAAATATGGTTCTCTTTTATCCGAGACACGATAGCGTGTTTACGGTCAGAGAATGTATTCATGTAAGTTTATTGTTTGTTGTCACGGATTATATATACTGTGTATCTGCAACATGTCTGTCAAACACTGAATATTTGGAAATGGCTCTTATTCTGTCACGCAAAATCACCAACACTTTAGCTCTGGTATTATAAAATATACTGATGTTGTGACCACATCCATCATCTCAATCTCACTATGGAACCAATACTTTTTGGCTGTAAGAAAAACGTTTTTACTGACTCTGTTTTTGCCTTGTTCATATTATTGGGAAAATATTACTTGTACAAATGCAAGCTGAATTCTGTTTTACCAAATATTGCTCAGTTCAGAAATGAGTTGAGATTGAGATATAGTATTGAAAAATGTATTTTCTTTAACTAAAGCTGTGAATGGTGAGTGAATGGATTGTCTTGTTTCGTAAAAATTTCCACCTGTATCCCATTAAATTACTGTATATCTTCGGACTGAGCTGTTCCCTGGCTGCTTAGTTTTCACTGTAACAGGGATTAAGAAATAAAATTTAAATTACAAAAACCAATAAAATAAAATATACGATATCCTTGCTGATGCGTGTGCCTATTCGTTCGGTGTATGTCTGCAACAATTATACGTACTTTTGGAAATGGTTTCATTCTACCAGACTGAAGCAAACCAAAACTTGAATGATAAAATAAACGATGTCCCGTTTGATACGTGTTTGGCATCATTAGGTGACCAGCTGCACTAACGAAGGCACAGCAGCAGCTGATGGAACGTGTGTGTGCCCCGTGGGCTTCATGGGGCACCTGTGCCAGCACTATGTTCACAGTGAGTACCTGATATTTATTCCTGTTGCTCGTCCACTGGTTTCTCCAGAACTGGTTTAATGATGTGTCATCTTCCACACTTGTCCTGCCCTCAACTGCAGTGTTTCATCAAACATCATACTTTTTAAACCCAAAACTCATAATATTCAAAAGAATAAGAATGATAATGAGAACTTTTTGTGACACTTATCTTCTTCGTGGGGGTAGCCAAGTGGTTAAAGTGTTCGCTCGTCTAACCGATAACCCAGGTTTGATTTGATTTCCCACATGGGTACAATGTGTGTAGCACATTCCTGCTGTCCCGCGACGTGATATTACTGTAATATTGCTAAACCCAAATCACTCGCTTCAGACCTGAAAACTGACATGTATGTACAAATGAGTTTATTGTTTTTTCTTAAGCCTGTTACGACATCTACCAGCGTGACTCCAGCAGCGCTGATGGCGAGTATACTCTCCTCACCTCCCAGGACGACGTCATTAACGTCTATTGCCGCTTCAAGAGCAGCGTGGTCACAACATACTTCTCCAAGGCTGCTGTAGCAAAACTCAACACGCAGGAACTACGTCTCCACTCCAACTCCAACACCACAGTCGACGTCGTCGCAAAAATGAGCGACGGAACGCAGTCTGAATCAACCCTTACCCAGCTGACCTCATTCTCCACTGTCCCCCTGAGAGTCATGGTCAGTGAATATACTGACTATTCTGCGCCCAGTAATGAAAACCTTGGAGCCTATCTATTCCTAGGGTTCCTCACTGAAGACAGAATATCCGTGGGCGTCAGGCACGGCTACAGCGCCAACGATGTTGATCAAGACTTCGTAAACTGTGACTCAAAGTCTCACAGTTACTTCACTTTTTTCTCCAACATGAACAACCTGCCGCCACAGATCGCTAGTGGTGGTATGTGTTCGACATGCATCATGGCGCACTGGAAGACTGGTGCCAAGATGTTACAATCCGGAGACTATCTTCCCGACAACTATATCTTCGACACAGAAATTCACTTCGGGGGCTGTGGTGGTTTTGGCATCACTACTAGCTGGAACAACGTTGATGGCTTCGCACTTGGCGTCAAATATGGTAGGATGTGTCGTGTTATATTCCAGTATCTTATTTGCTGCTTTGAACACATGAACAGTTTTTAAAGGCGAAACAGTATTTTTCAGAAACCAAATTTGTGACATTACAAGGATTTTTCTTTTGAAGCAACAAACACGTTTCCTCCGCTATAAATAATAATACAAGACAAATCTCATGGATGACAACTGCTTGGTTTATTTTACTACACCAACTTCTAAAAGCCCTTGAAGAATTTCTATAAACAATAGTTCACCTTGAACCCTGTCACAAATTGCACTTTGTGTTGTATGTTCCGAAGACTAACGATTCTTAATCAGCAGTGGATTATTTTTTAATGAACATAAACAGCCAAAAACAATGTCCGTCTTCACGACAATGTTGTTTTTAAAGCAGGCTGCATCAAGTGTGTTTCTTAATCACTATGAAATAGTGATGGTGCCATGTGTTCTAGAAATGGTGAGCAGATCACTCTGTAGGCAGTTATTGATAAATTGCTATTGCGTCACGATTTGAAACGTAGTATGTTTCAGAAATGGTAATTGCGCAAATTGTATGTTAACATGAGATCAATTTCCCTTTAAAACAGGCAGAAACTAATGAATCATTAATTTGCTTTTCATTTTGATACGTCCGACAAACATTCAGTTATTCTGTGATCCCAAAATGAATATTGCTGGTGTTAGCAGTTTCGCGAGCAGGAAAACTGCGAGTTTCATGAAGCATTTATTGCACACTACAAGATTAAACTAACAATGTTAACCTGTTTCCACAGTATATTACTAAGCTAACAATCCCATCCTGTTTTTTAATAGCACACTATATATGTTGTCTTTCTAGGGGGTGAGGGGGTTATCGTTTTACGCCGAGCTCAGCAATTTTCGTAAGAGGTGACTAAGAATTGCAGGTGGTCAGACTCACTGACTTGGTTGACATATATTGTATCCCAACTGCTCATGTTGTTGATCATTGGATTGTCTGGTCCAGATATGATTATTTGCAAATAAAACCAGACCTACTGACAAGTCGACATTTACATGTGCAATACACACTAAGCTGATGCTTACTCGCTTGCAAAAACACTTTAAAACGCTACCATACAGTTTAGAATCAGGTCTCAAGATGCGTGAATATTTATGTAAGAAGAACAATCTGGCACTGTATTTCTATATTAAATTATCTGTTCACTCAGGCATTATATTGTAATGCGCTTTCCAAACTTCGTGATAGAAAATATGTCTAGGATTTCGATTTTCTCCAAATTTCGTGATAGACAATATGTGAATTTCAGGAGAGTGAATAAGTGAGTTTAGTTTACGCCGCACTAAGCAATGTTCCAGTTATATGGCGGCAGTCTGTAATAATCGAGTCTGGACCAGACAATCCAGTGATCAACAGCATGAGCATCGATCTGCGCAATTGGGAACCGATGACATGAATTTCAGAAGAAGGCGGTTTATTACAACGCGATTATTTGTCGCGTTTGTATCTGTACGATACATATAATGTATTAAAGATAACAAATTTGCACTCGGGTTGATTGATAATTATGTTCTGGGGCTGAGCCAAAGACGTAACACATTTCAACAGTTCCCCTCAACGCCGATAAGCCTTCGTCAATAATATCAGGATATTGGGCCTGTCAGTCTCGCGAGACGCTACGTCCGGTACTAGCTGGTTCACGGCTCCCTTTGCGCGCGCCAACTTGCGATATGCGAGACGGGGCCCAGCTTACTTTCGGTACCATATTTCCGGTGACAGACGTATATTCAAGACCCAGTTCTGGTACCAAATTGGGGATTAGATCAGAAACTTGTTATTCCAAGGAATATCCGATCGTTAAGTACTGACAACTGACAACCATGAGACCATTCGAAAAGGTATGAAACGTTGTTTGTCACCTGACAACCATGAGACCATTCGAAAAGGTATGAAACGTTGTTTGTCACCGGAAGTACTAAGGTCTCGCGAAGTGCCGTGACCTACTTACAGGCCCTATTGTCCCAGTTACAAGACCTTCTCTTAGCCGCCCAAAAGGTGATCCACAGAAGCTACAACGTCGTGGTTCAAATGGAAATGGTTTCCCCAGTCTACCACGTCTCTTTGTCAAAATTGCACCATGCAATTGCCTAAAACATGCAGCATAATGTGTTCTGTTTTGGAAGATAATGATGCCGCTAGGACTCTCCCAGCCTTCCAAAACACGGAGGCCCAAACGTTTCCAGGTGATAGGTATTTTGCCTTCTATGGTTGTAGGGATGTCAAAAGTTCCACTTCATGGTTGATTGGATTTATTGCCCTTAGTAGTGAACCCAGGTCTCATCCATAGTCACAAATAGTTGCAAGAGCATTGTTGATCAGCTTCAAGCAGATTTGGATTATCATGACAGATGCTATGCCTAGCGCGATTTTGATCAGATATCTGAATTTTGAAACCCAACATTGCCAATGCAATAATGGAACGGACCACTGAACAATGCTGATTTATATTTTCCGGCCAGTCATCCACATATTGAAGTTGTTTGTTGGGTTGGTTTGGTGTTTAGCTATACTGCGGCGGTCTATATATAATCGAGTCTGGGCCAGACAACTCAGTGATCAAGATCATAAGCATCAATCTAATTGGGATACAAGGAAATGTGTCAACCTAGTCAGCGAGCCTGACACCTGATCCAGTTAAACGCCTCTTACAAGCATGGATGGCTAAAGACCAATTCTAACCCGGCTGATCGCGGGTACATATCGACTATTCACTGGATGGTTTCTTGTCTTGCTAACGTTCCTTCCAGGACGGGTATTATCTTGCACATTTCCTTTCCCTAGTGTTGTGCGCATACATCTAATATTTTTTTCGTATCAAGCCTTTATATACAGTCAACTCTCGTTAATCCGACACTTGTGGTTGCAGAGAAATATGTCGGATTAACGAAAATGTCGGATTAATGTATTTGTACTCGTGACAGACATCTTGTGATGAAAACTCAGGTCGGTTGTAAACATTTTATACAGCTCGCTCTACTGTTATTTCTTGATTAAATCGTCTCAATTAATTATCCTGTGTTCCTAACTAACAAGAGTGATGTTCACCGACATCGGTGTCAAGCAGCCAGTAAGGCATACGCTAATTACCACTCACGTGTGATTGTTTGTATACGGTCGGGTTATCCGACCGGCTGTGTGATTGTCGGATTAACGAATGTTTTTACAATGTATTTACAATAATCAGTTGCTATAAGTACATGATCACTCCACATTCTTCAATTTGTCTATTTTCCAAACATCACAGACCTCTGCCTGTTTTACAGAATTGACGCAAGGTTTCGTATATATACCTCTAAGAGCGAGTGAGTGAGTTTAGTTTTACGCCGCACTCAGCAATATTCCAGCTATATGGCGGCGGTCTGTAAATAATCGAGTCTGGACCAGACAATCCAGTGATCAACAGCATGGGCATCGATCTGCTCATTTGGGAACCCATGACATGTGTCAACCAAGTCAGCGAGCCTGACCACCCGATCCCGTAAGTTGCCTCTTACGACAAGCATGGGTTACTGAAGATCAATATTCTTACCCGGACCTTCACGGGTATACCTCTAAGAGATCATGTAACCACAACATAACGTTTGACTTCCGTCGTGAGACAGGATATTGACTGTTCCGTTTTAGCACTGCATACTTTTCACTCATTGTTTCAGATATCTAGTACCACGGTAGAGCAGTGCAAAGAAACGGACACCAGTACCGAACACAGAGCGCATTGACAGCTATAGATGTTATTGATTTAGACAACAATATCACAAGTATCGCTTATTGGAACAGAAACATCGATAGAGGCGTTGTACTGCTTCAAACAATCATTCCAATGATGAAATAAATCAATTAGCGATTAAACCCATCTTATTGTCTGTTCCCTCAGGGCGGAGAGGTTTTTTTGGTTAGTTTGAGTTTCACTCGAGGGTAGCGCCATTGTGGTTTGTCTAAAACTTGGATTATGTAAAAAATATTAACACTTTTTAATCCATTGTTCATTACATTTTGTGACTTATACATGTTTCTTAATGGAACCTAGGACATGTTTCTTAAGTTAGTCTTATTATAAATCTAAATGTTTAGGGGGGAATATACCAACTTTCGCTAAATTCACCGTGTATATTGTGCATAAATGAGGTATTTGGCACTTACTCATTATCTCCCATTAGCTAGCCTACAGCCCAGTACTGTTATCGTACTGCCCTTGTAGTGCTCTACGTCGTGTCTTATTCAAGCCAATGAATTTGTGAGTCGGTGATAGTCTCCTTTTCCCAAATAGCTTTATCGCCCACTGTGTTTTGCACTACATCGTATGTTATTAGGACAGCAAGCGAAGTAAAGTCAAGCCTTCAACTTGCACCGTATATTTTGACATTCCAGCTGCTGATTTTGACCGTGAAAACCTCGCCGCGTTACTAAATTAGAGAAGAAACATGTTGAAATGGAAACGAAACGAAACAAATGATATTAATTTATTTTCTGCAAACTTGATTTATACATTTTTTCAGATCTGTTACAGTATTTCCGATTATTCATGGTGCAAAATCATGTTACATATGTCGAACCCAGTAATTAATTGCCAGTTAATTTGGAAAGTACTTCGTATTTTGAAACTGATACGATCACTACGTCGATTTTTAGTTGGTTGTAGTCATGCCAGCTGGAAGCTGGAAGAGTCTATATCAATACGTTGCTATGTATATAATGAACCAGAGGTGGTTCTCCATAAAACTTAACCTCTCTATGCTTTAAAATGGTGTATATCAACATTCAGTTGCGGCTTCATGATGCAATATATTTCTTCAGGTTTTTCTTTTGTAAGTTACATTATGAAACTATTTTGAGTGAGTGAGTGAGTGTAGTTTTACGCCACACTCAGCACTATTCCAGCATGGGTTAATGAAGGCCAATATTCTAACCCGGACCTTCACGGGTCAAACTATTTTGAACATATTCTCCTGACCATATGCTTGCTTTCCATCAACACGTCCAAAAGGAAAGACATTTCCACTTATTAAAATATCCATCACTATTGGTAACTACATGTAATTGTATAACAGCGGTCATTCTTATCACTCTGTAATAGTCATAACCACTTGATACCATGGATTTGTATTTTTCTTTTCATGTTTGATATATTTGTGTAACATACTCATTTTATTATTATCAAGAAGAAAATAGTATTTTCTTATAATACATTCTATACGGCAAACGTCTGTAAAAGACTACAAAACATTGAACACACACACACACACGAACACACACACACACACACACACATATATATATATATATATATAAAGAAAGTGATGAGAATACCGAGCGTACAGTAGTACATATATAAGAAAAAGTTTCTGAAATAATCACACGACACGGATCTTCTCCAACATGTTTCACTTTTATCTTCAGGGAGAAGTGATTACAGTTAAACGGATTATGTTATGACGTCAATTTGTCATGACGTCACAATGCAACTGTATACAAATGTTGTGACGCGGCGTTGCCATGACGTCACATTGGCGGCTTTATATTGACAGTACTAGTAGCAGTAGTATAAGGGCCTTTATGGCGGCAAGATCTATTTTTAGCTATGGGGCTTTACAGGGTCAAAATCTATTGTTAGACTTCACATAGTCTATTTTTAGATGATGAGTCACTGCTCTCTATTGTATATTGAGATCTATGATGTGAACACCTGGTGTGTCTATTTTTAGATGATGAGTCACTGTTCTCTATTGTATATTTAGATCTATGGT